TCAAAAGTATAAATCAGTAGTTACAAAGTAGTCAGTAATATTGCAATGACCATATATGGCGCCAGGTGGATACTAGATTTATGGTGTCTCTTCATAAATTATATAAATGCCTAACACTGAATGTTACCTGTAATTGAAAAATGAAAATTAAAAAAAAATTTACTGATCCAGGATAAAATCTAAATGCCTGGGAAGTATTGTCCCACAGAAGTGTGAAAGTAGCAGTTCAAGTGTAAAGATTAATCATAATTTAGCAAGTGTTACACAGAATTAGGCTACCTTGAAAAAGCAAAGAAGATAACAGTCTCCAAAGACAAAGATGAAAACAGAATATGTAGCCTGAAAGTAGAACGTGAGCCTGAATACCTAGAAGTTCTCCCATCAGTTAGATTTGTAACAGAAATTAATAAGAATAAAATAATTCTGGTGAGAATGTGGATGCACAGAGCATACCAGTGTTAGCAAATGAGCTAAATGCATATTCACAGAGTATTGATGATTGGATTTCAAAAGCAAAGACATTTATGATGTCGAGGAAAACATGAAGCTTCCGTAGCCACCAGGAAAACACACAGAAATTAATTTGATGGGATCTCAGACTTATCTTAAATCAACAACCTTCTATTCTACTCAGCTGGCTGCCTTGATTAAATTTCATGATGCAAAACACAGGTACGTTAAGTAAAATTACATTTTCAGGCGATACGAGAAAAACGGCTGCAATGTGTTTTTCCTCATTAAAGCACTGCCATTATGCATAAACCTTGAGTGTTCACAATAGAAGTCAGGTTTACAAGATGAAAGCATGGCAAGAAAAAGCGTGTTTCTGAAAAATAAAAATCTTAGGGAAAAACAAAAATGGCTTTCTTTACTCATCTTGCTTAATGAAAGATCCAGAGTTTAAATTGTCTAATGTCACAAATTGCGTTACTTTTTGAAGCGATGTGGATGCTGGCTTCTAATAGTAACAAAATATATTCAAGATTGTTTTTACCTCTGTATTTATAATTTTAAAAAGCCAAGAAGGAGGTTGATGAATTTCTGTTAAAAGCCATTCCTGTTACATGTGACAAACTAGCAAATATTTATTTACAGTGTTTATTTAATAAACCATTGAAGTTGAGTGAAATCAGTATAAAGGAAATAGGGATTGATATGTGATTTAGAGATTAAAGTTAGTCCTAAGATGTAAATAAAAGATGAAAAGTGCCCTATATTTTTTTAATGATGTACCCCAAGCGGGGTACCTGGTCTCCACACACAGCTGTCCTGTAGCTCTTGATGGCAGTTCAGGAAGTTATCTATCGATCCGTCTCCACATAAGCCATCTCATTCCATCCTGGATGATTCTAGGTGGAGTCCCTCTCTCCTCTCCTTCAGCACACCCTGTGAGCCCTCTCCTCCTTAAAGCCCAGCTTGGTATTCACAGCCTCCATTCAAGTAAAACAAACAAAACAGCCCGGCCAATGTGGCTCAGCGGTTGAGCACTGACCTACAAACCAGGAGGTCATGGTTTGATTCCCAGTCAGGGCACATGGCCAGGTTTTAGGCTCGATCCCCAGTGTGGGGCATGCAGGAGGCAGCTGATCAATGATCCTCTTTCATCATTGATGTTTCTCTCTATCTCTCCCTCTCCCTTCCTCTCTAAAGTCAATAAAAATATATTTTTTTAAAAAACGAACAAATCAAAAACCTACCTGGCTTACAGCTGTCCCTCTCTAATTCTGCATACCCACAGCATGCATGCACACAGTAGGATGCAGCACTAAACAAACACTGAATGATTGGTACATGTATTCTCTCTCAGATTGGGTCAGGAATAATCTGGGATAACAAAGAATATAAATATTATTCATAACCTGTTTTGGAAAAACTACAGTCAGTAATCCCATGATGTGAAATGTAAATATTTCTGCAGAAACAAAGCCTCACGAGCAGAATTTAATTTTCACTCCAAACAAACCATTACCTGTGGTTAATGGACCGGAGCAGCTACACCACCACCAAGGAGCAGGACCAGCCTGAACATTTGGTCCGGAAATTCAACAGCAGAGCAAAGAGCACACACCACTGACTCGCCTAATCTAATTAAACTCTCCAGGACTATGAATACCCTGTGGCACAAGCAAGGCCACTGAACTACCAGCCAGAAGTCTCTGCCTACCGATTACTCCCATCTCTCCCTCAAGTTTTTGTTACTAGAGGACACCTTGGAGGCCTGGTGGAGACAAAACGATGAAGTGGCCTTTCCTCACTTTACCCTCCACACCTATAGGTTTAGTTGTTTTAGATCCATGGTCAGCAAAACTGTGGCTCGCGAGCCACATGCGGCTCTGTGGCCTCTTGAGTGTGGCTCTTCCACAAAATATCATGGCCTAGGCAAGTCTATTTTGAAGAAGTGGTGTTAGAAGAAGTTTAAGTTTAAAAAATTTGGCTCTCAAAAAAAATTTCAATCCTTGTACTATTGATATTTGGCTCTGTTGACCAAGTTTGCCAACTACTGTTTTAGATGATTTCATGTCCTCTTTCAATGCATCTGGTGTGAACTTTTCCTTCTTACATTGCGTGAGGACAGAGCAGTAGCCAGAGGTGCCACAGAGAGAGGGCAGGTGTGTTTTAAGGCAGTTAGAAGTGACCGGGTGTCTGTAGGCTTTGAGAATAAAAAGTTCCTGGAAAGGTGACATTTGAAGATCCAACCTTCCCCATCAAGGCCTTCAAGAAGCTGTTATTGTCCTCACTATCCCAAGAGTATACATCACATATTCAACTTAGCACAATGCGTTTTTCCCTTTTGACCTCAAAGCATTGATTATTTCACTTTTAATGGAGTCTTTTTTAATGAAAGGAGCATCCTGAACTTCCAAAGGGAGTTCTTAAATTATAATTCAAGTATTATTGGGAAATATTTCCTCTACCTTCATTCCTTGAGGCATAGATATCCTTATATAAACTATAGAGTGGTTGAGTGTCAACCTTTGAACCAGAAGGTCACAGTTTTGATTCCTGGTTGGGGCACATGGCCGGGGTTGTGGCTCAATCCCCAATGAAGGGTGTGCAGGAGGCAATCAATCAATTATTCTCTCTCATCATTGATGTTTCTATCTCTCTCTTCCTCTCCCTTCCTCTCTGAAATGGATAAAAAATATATTTTTAAATAAGTAAGTTATTACATTATACAGCAGTGATTTCAGTTACTAAGGCCTGGATCTGACCATGGGCAGTGCTACACAAGATTAAGCAGATGTACAGCTGGGACCACAGAGAAGGAGGACTGGCATGCCAGCATCCCCCAAAATATACCATTCCCTGCCGCTGAAGGGCTACATCCTGGACAGAGCGGGGGTCCTTAGAAAAGAAATATAAACAAGGCTGGGAACAACCAAGACATCTCCCCCCTTTCAAACCCAGCCTGGATTGAATTTGATGTTCCTGGCACTGGACTAAAAAGTTCAAGTAAAAGGAGGAGGGGAGACTTGTTCTTCAGGGGCTTTCTTAGCTCAGGCTGTGTAACAAATTCCCATGGACTAGAGGCCAAAACAACAAACACTGATTTCTCCGTCCTGGAGGCTGGGAAGTCCAAGTTCAAGGAGCCTGCAGATCCGATGCCCGGGGAGGGCCCACTTTCTGGCTTGTATGATAGATGCTATCTTCTCGTCCTGTCCTCACCAGGCAGGGAGTAGAGAAGCTACTCTCTGGACTCCTACAAGGACATTAATTCCATTCCTGAAGGCTCCACCCTCATGACCTCATCTAACCCTAATCACCTCCCCAAGACCCCACCTCCTAATACCTTCACACTGGGGTGGGGTAGAGTTTTCACATAAGAGTTTGGGGTGGAGGGGAGCACACAAGCCTTGAGTCCATAACAGAAGCCCACAGTCAATGAGAAAGACACTTTAGACACTAAAGGTTTCACAATCCATGAGATCAGTGCTGCGGCAGCAACCTACCAAGGACCTGGGGAGCAAAGGTCAGGGAGAAGTTAATTCTGCCTCGAGAAGGAACTCAAGCATTGATTATTTCACTTTTTCCAATATCTAGTTGAAGTAATTGAGGAAGAAATTGATATTTCAACTAGATATTGGGAAAAGGACAGGAATTGACTAAAAAGATAATTAGGAAAGAAGTTCTTTAAACAAAAAAAAATGACCTTCTAAAAATTCCTCTCAGTGGTTCTCAACCTTCCTAATGCCACGACCCTTTAATACAGTTCTTCATGTTGTGGTGACCTCCAACCATAAAATTATTTTCGTTGCTACTTCATAACTGTAATGTTGCTACTGTTAATGAATCACAGTGTAAATATCTGTGTTTTCCGATGGTCTTAGGCTCTACAGCAGCGCTTCTCAACCTGTGGGTCACCTGTGAGAATCGCTAGCAGGGTCGCCTAAGACCATCTGGGAAAACAGATATTTACATTACGATTCATAACAGTAGCAAAATTACAGTTACGAAGTAGCAACGAAAATAATTTCATGGTTGGGGATCACCACAACATGAGGAACTGTATTAAAGGGTCGCAGCATTAGAAAGGTTGAGAACCACTGCTAACTGCTTGTGTTGAATAGAACCAGCCTACCAATTTTAATCAGCGCTAACCTAGATGTTTAGTTACTATTGAGGCTTCTCCAAAAGTTATTTATTTCCAGCTTATGACCAATTCAGAGCATCTACAAAAGTGACCTACTGAATTTGCAGAGGCAGTAAAATTCTTACAACAGTAATAATAATAATAATAACAGGATGAAACTTAATGGCTTTACTGAATAGATTACCTTTATGGCCAACAGCCCTCGTGCTCTCTCCAAGCCCATGGAAGTCCCTGGGAAGCCTCATTTGCTGCCCCAAGCTTACATTGCATTACACACTTGGTAATTGTAATGTAAATTGGTAAAAATTGAAAAGCTGTGCATCTACTTTTAAATTGAACCATTTGTAGTAAATCACTGAATACTTTCCGTGAACAATAGGAGTTTTACAAGATGACCTGTTATTCTTACCTCCATGGGAAAAGCTTTGAAATTAACGGTGTGCTCAGAACCACGCTGGTTTTCTCTTCCCCAATGAAATCGGACCTCATACAGTTCGAATTCGTGCCCTTGAGGCAATGGACCTCCCGACAGAACTGAAAAAAAATAAAATAAATTATATTTAATTAGATCTCAAACATATTCATCAGCACAGCAATAGAAACACTGGGGACATGTTTGGACAAACACTCGCATGAGCTCTATAGATTCCATTCATATGGCCAAAATGAGAAATACAGCACAACTGTAAATTTACACTCTGTGGGTTTTTGCTGAAATTCTTATAATGCCATTCAGATAACAGCAGAAGTTCAAAAACCTGGAATATCTTGGTAATGATATGTATATCATTTCATTTTAACTTGGTTAACTTTAGACAAAGAAAACCAATCCAATAATTATGCTCTGAGATATAAACTTAACACTCATCAGGAGGTAAAAATATTGTTTGAGTCTCAGATTAACCAATAACTTGCTATAGATGTATCAATACATTAAACCTTGTTTTCAGATCATCCATTTGTAGCAACAGGCTTTCAATTTAGAGAATAGGTATAAGCTAATAAAGTTATCTATGAAGAGAATTATTATTAAGCCAATCAGGTTTTTCAACAATGCAATCACACTTAGGGTAAAAAGTAATTTACCGTTCAGTGTCACATACAATGCAAACAAAATAAAATTTAATAAAATATTAATACTTAAAATATGAACATCAGTTTTATAGGGCCATGTCTCTAGTTCTCATTTCTGGATATGACTCAGAACTTTGCCCCAAAGAAGGGCACTCTAAAAGTAATGAAAAATAAATCTGTACAAGAACCTGTCTTGAAGAGATAAAATACTTTCTTTAAACACTCCCTAATTATCATATGGAAAAACTTGAAAAAAGGTTATTATAAATTACTTATTTCAATATAAATAAAGATTGTTTGCATTTTTATTTTTAAAAATGTCCTTTCTAAATTATATCAGCTAAGAATTGAAAGTTATTTTTCATTCAAGACAGTGACAAAATTCACCCCATTCTCCCCAAAATGGTCTCTCAAACAGGAGAACATTGATACCTGGGTTGTCATTGCCGAGCAAGTGACAATGTCCAACCTGCTCTCCCGAGGAACAGTGTGGCTGTCTATTTCACTCTAAAACTCAAAGGGGAAGAAAGCAAGCTAGTGCAACAGGTATTTACTTGTTTGGTTGGTTTACACCCCATAACTTGTTCCAAAAAGAATTTCAAGCTGCTTATATCAAGGTACACAAAACACAGGCAGAAAGCATGCATCAGGAAGAAGAACAAAGGTTAAACAAAGACGGGCAGAAACCAGCTGGAGAAATGAGGTGATCGCACACACCAACGTCTCAAGTCCTTGCTAAAAGTGCCCAACAAATTTGCTTCTAAACTTTCTGCCAGCTCGGTGAAGAAAAAGAGCTACAATAGCAAAAAGCAGTTTTCACTTTTCAAGTGTATAAACCTCACATCCTGGGGAAAGGAGGTGACCTGCATGGCCTTTAGGATACTATTTTTCACAATTTTAATGCTTCTCTCCAGACTGGTCTTACTAAAGTCTCACAACAAATCTGAGGGGTCAGTGGGATCGTCCCCATGGACAGGAGAGAAGAACAAGGCTGAGAGGGGGTAAATGCGGCCTGCCCTGGCCACCCAGGGTCCTCTGACCCACGTCCCAGGGTGCGACAAGGATGGGGAAAACCAAATTTTAGTATCTGCAAGCATGAAAAACAATGGCTTCTTTTTTAAATATATTTTTATTGACTTCAGAGAGAGGAAGAGAGACAGAGAAACATCAATGATGAGAGAGAAACAGTAATCGGCTGCCTCCTGTATGTCCCACACTGGGGATGGAGCCCACAACTCAGGCATGTGCCCTGACAGGGAATCGAACTGTGACCTCCTGGTTCACTGGTCGACACTCAACCACTAAGCCACTGCGACCAGGCAAACAATGAGTCCTTTAAGTCTAGGGTTCTAAACTGCAGTTGTAATAAAAAAAACTTAAGTACACGGATCACAAAGGGTCACAGGTATCCAAAGCTGCAGTGCACCTCACATAGCATCTTCAATAAACACCCGGCTGTGGATGGAAGAAGAGATGACAAGTTTCTATTTCAACCGGGTGCCACAGTTTCTGAATAGTCTCAAAACCCACTCTTCCTTCCACACAGCTGTCCAAGCTTGGTCTTAAGGAAAACCCAGGAAGCCTGCAGTCCACATACAGTGGACCCCACCTCCCAAACCTAACAAGAGGGGAAAGCAAGGAAGTCCGTGGCTGAACCGCAGCCTCATCGTGAGAACTAGAGAACACACCCTCGCCCTGTGGGAGCGCAGCCCGAGCGCTTCATGGGGGTGGGCTCTGCTTTTTAAAGGTGAAAACTGCCCTAGAGGAGGCTTAGCTCCACACTGCTAAGGACAAGGAGGGAGAAATATTGTGAAATAATAAGTCATGGGAAATGGGAAAGAGGGTTTTTAAAAACTACTGGTACTTAAGAAAGAAAAGAAAAGAAAAGAAAAGAAAAGAAAAGGAAAGAAAAGAAAAGAAAAGAAAAGAAAAGAAAAGAAAAGAAAAGAAAAGAAAAGAAAAGAAAAGAAAAGAAAAGAAAAGAAAAGAAAAGAAAAGAAAAGAAAAGAAAGAAGGAAGGAAGGAAGAAAGAAATGGATGTTATAACTGATGTTGACAGTGACTTTAAGAGACCAGAAAAAGAACCTGGAAACTCCATAGGTCTGTCTTGATAAGAGAAGTTGAAGGCCCCCAAGGATCCACTGATCACATACATTGTACCAGACACTGTATTAAGTGCTTAAGGTACACTGATTCTTTTTTTAGAGAGGGAAAGGAAGCAGGAAGGAAGGGAGGGAAGGAGGGAAGGAGAGAGAGAGAGAGAGAGAGAGAGAGAGAGAGAGAGAGAGAGAGAGAAAGAGACAGAGAGAGAGAGAGAGAAGAAAGAAATAGAGAGAGAGAGAGAGAGAGAGAGAGAGAGAGAGAGAGAGAGAGAGAAAAGAAATATCGATCGGTTGCCTCCCTCACAATTGAACCCACAACCAGGTACGTGCCCTGACAGAGAACCGAACCTGCCACCTCCTGGTGCACAGGATAATGCTCCAACTGAGCCACATCAGCCAGGGCAAGACAAAGGGATCTTGACAAAACAGACAACATTTGTTGATCGCATGGATCTTTACAACGAGCACAGAAAAGGGAAGCATTCTCTAGTCCCCAGAGAGGGGTGACAGAGGCAGCGTGGGCCAGGAATCAAGCGCTGGGAACCTTTCACTTTTCCTTTAGATGAGTATCCCAAAGTAAAACCGCACTAAAATCACGTGGCTGTACAGAGCCACAAAGAATGACGAAATCCTGAAAGCAGAATTTTATGAGGTGCCAGCTAAGTATTACCTGTGCATCCTTTAAGAATGACTGTTTTCAGACTAAAAATAAACAGCTCTGTTTCACCCATTTGGCCACATCCGCTTAAGGCATTTTTTTGCCTCAGTATAGCTTTTCTTCAAATAAGGAGACCACTCATACCAAAAGGTGTACACTTTTCCCTACATTTATGATTATCAAAGTTTGCCACCATATGGCAGGTTTATTAGTTGTGATGTCACTAAGGTCAGTAAAATGTGTTACAATGGCTCTCTGGCTGGAATTAAAACAAACAAACTTCGACATAAAAATGTGTTACAATGAAACTCATACTGATGACACGCTGCATTTCCTTAGAATAACAAACTTGTGGGGGAAAATACAAAATAAACCGATGTGATCGCTGCGGCACCCGTTTTCTTTAATACCCTGTCATAGTCACGGCTGCAATGCTTATGAGATACAAAGAGATCCTTCTCCAAAATTTGGGAACCTCATAGATGTATATTTCAACCTAGCTAAGCTTCTCTCTCCATTCGCTGGAGACAAATCTGCCAGGTAGTTCAATAGTTCAAAGGCTGTTGTCCTTCAAGGCTTATCTCCCTCACTGCACTTGAGTTCAACATGCACGTTGCAAGACAGACGCCTTGCCCTGCACCGAGCACCCAGTTCATAGAGAGAGGATACTGCCTCGGGGCTGGCGGGCCCTCTCAGTGCGTGCGGAGCTGGATTTGACGGTTCACATGAATTGCATCAGAAGAGTAAGGGAAAGTGCACAAGGCAGTAGGAGAATGCCCAGCAAGGGCCGAGCCAGCACCAAGGGCATCAGAAGGTCAGGAGATGACTGCCAAGCAGAGCCTTGAAGAGGAAGCTAAGGGAAGTGAGAAAGCGCGGGCCAGCAGGGAGAGGAGGCTGAGAGGGGAAGCAGCCTGAATGTGTCCCAAGAGAAGGAAGCTGGAGGTCACCGATGGCCAATGTTAAGATGAGAGAAAGTAATTTTTAAGGTATTTCTGACAACTCCATATTTAAACCAGCAAGGCTGCTAAGAAGCACACTTTTTAAAAAGTGGTCATTTTTTAAAAGTATGATGAATAATAAAAAAATAATAATCTAGCCTAAAATTAGCATGAAGAATTATAAAAGGCCCAGGAGTGGAATTTTCTAATTAGGGTTTCTATAATAAGTGGCAGGGAAGGGCACAAGTGACCTACCTTGATGAGCAATCTCTCCCATGCTCATGGCCCTTTAAAAGTGTCATCACCCTTAACACACTGCTTGCCGTCAGATGGAACGACATTCTATTGCACAAGTGTGGGCAGTCTCACACTTTTTCACAACGTACGTGTCAGACCACCTCAGGCGAGAAACCTATAACAATTGTATTTTTACACTTCAGCTACTTTCCATAGCACCATAAGTATGTCCCATTTTAATGTGTCCGTGTACACTAAATTGTTACCATTCCCACAGAACAAAGTGATTCCTGTGTCCCACGGAGACACATGTGGCAGCATTCATGAAATTCTCTACAGTCAGGGAGACAACCGGCCAACAGTCTGGTCAGGTCCCACCTGGAACGCAACCCTTGGCTCAACTCCCGTCGGAGGCACTTTGTCTCCTTGAAACATGCTCAGAGCAGAGGGAGAAGAACAGTGACTGGATCCAAAATGTGGTCCAGTTCCAGGGCCTCCACCCCTGCCAGCCTCCTCACCCCTGGT